TTTAAAACTAACTATTTCATTTATATGCTAACTTAAACATCTCCAACAAAAGCATACTATTTCTAATTCTTTAGGAATAAGTTCTAAAATTATAAGTCAAATTATTAATTTCTTAGTCAAGTTAACATATAATTCACATTAAGATTAGATGTCTACAATACAAGTTATTGAGTCTAGATCAAAATCACTTTAGTGTTCCATTTATGTCTTAGTTAAAATTCATTTTCTAATAATAAGATACTTTAAGATAACATGATATTCCATACATAATCAAAATAGAACATATGAATAAGATAAGAATTATATTGCATAAGAAAAGTTACATCATAATCAAAATAGAACATATGAACAAGATAAGAATTATATTGCATAAGAAAATTTACATCAGTATAAATTCATTACATCTAATTCTAGTGAAATGGGAGTTTAACTACTCCTAAGTATCTAAAACATACAAGTTGGATGAAATTAGTGGATTGACCGGAGTCTTGGTGCCTTAGATCGTCTTTGATCGAGATATGAGTTTATCTGTGTTTCCACACCAAAGTAACTTTTTTTGTTCATTCACGACATAATAACTACTTTCAGAAATTAACCTCTCACTGGACGAGCTTAAAAATTTATTGCATGAGAAACCACTTCTATTTCGCTTTCAACTATTCTGTTTTGCGGAGCAAGACAACATACTTGTTGGGCGAGTATCATGCTTACTCGTTGAGCGAGTGAATTGTGGCTAAGTGAGAGAATCCTAACACGCAATCATTTAATCTTCTTCATATGTCCATTTTCCTACACTATAAGATAAAAAATACACACATTATATTTAACATGAAAAGAAACAGAAAAATTTACATCTTCCCATGAAAAAAACACATAATACATGAACAAATACAAATATAAAGTAAAAAATAAGCATGAACAAATACAAATATAAGGTAAAAAATAAGCATGAATAATAAGTATTTATCACACTTATCATTATAGTTGTCAAAATGGGTTACAACCCACTGGTCAACCGGCCCACAACGGGTTTGAATCGGGTTGGATTTGAAAAAAATGTATTTTTTTTATGTGGGTCAATTTTCAACCCGGCTCATTTAAATCCGGCTCCCAAATCCACCTAATTTTATTTTATTAATTTATTATCTTATGAAACCCTAAACAATACCATCCAGCTTATTATATGTGGATTGTATTGTACTTTTTTTTATTATTTTGAATTTTTTTGAGTTTAACATCATTTTGGGAGTGAAATTTATTTAGCTTTGAATTACAAAAAAGTTTGTGATTTTTTTATTTAAAAAAATGTAATTAAGTGAACAATGAGCCAACCTGTTTAACCCACCATATATTTTGATTATGGTGTGTTTTAAATAAGTTCATGATAAAGATCATTAAAAACTTTGATATATTAGTTATGTTGATATCTAAAATTCATCAATTATTTGTCATTACATAAAAATTTATCAAGATAAAAAAATAAATATAAAGTATGGAAAATTATAACAAATTTAAAATAAAAATTATATTTCATAAAACATAAACAAACTATATCTATTTTAATTTTTTTAAAATAACTACATTGAGGTAAAACATAATATCCTTCTCGACAAATATGTGAAACTTTGAATTGCATATACTTACAAAAATGTAAATATCAACATTGATAAGTGTAAAAAATACTTATTATTCATGCTTACTAATACTCTCAAAGTTGTAATTATTCATGAGTAATGTGTTTTTTCATAGAAAATGTAATAATTGTTAGAAAAGTTGTGTTAGCTAATTGTACAGGAAAATGATACATCATTGAAGAATATGTTAGGATTTTCTCGCTAAGTCCCTGATGATTCGCTCAGTTAAAAAGAAGGACACTCACTCAACGAGCAAAGTGGCTCGCTCAGCGAGTGGGATTAGTTAATGGAGGAACAATTGATTTTTCGATCGGCGCATGCACATTTGCTCGCTTAGTGAATATGGTTAATTCTGGGAGTGGTTGTTTAGTCAAGAAAGAAATGAGTTTAGTTCTCATTAGAAATTATGAGAAAATTCAAGGAACTGGGCAAAGGCTACTTCGAGGCATCAAGACGTCATTCTTCATTGAATTTCATTAAACTTGTATGTTTTAGATGACTAGGAGTAGCTAAATTCACTTTTCATTAGGATTTGATGTAATGAATTCATTTTGATGTAGAATTCTTATACAATATATCTTATTATTTGTTCATATGTTCTGTCTTGAATTTGTTGTCATTGTATGGAAATATAATATATTTTAATGTTTTTAATCAGTGGAAAGTAACTTTGAACTTGGACATAGAGAGATAAACTAAGAGGATTTATTCTAGGAATGATATCAATTCATCATTCTTATACATCTGATTCCAATGCAAATTATATGTTAAATGGACTAATGAATTAATAACTTAGCATATATATTTAGAACTCGATCTTAAGGAAGTAAACTGAGTATATCTTGATGTGAATGTTTGAATGAAATAATGATATGTTGTACAAAGTTTTATCTTCAAATAATTCATGAAACCCTATTCCAATGAAGTTTCATCTTAAATTTCAATTGCAATCTTTAAAATTCTTTCTATTATAATCTAATTTCCTAATTATGAATTCGATCAATTTTTTATCTAGGTTGAATTTGATAAATAAACAATATTAGACAAACAAGACTCAAATCCCTTCAGAAAATGACATTTGAAACTTTCCTGAAGTACTTGTAACGATTTTGTACACTTGTCAAAAAGTTAGCAGACATCATCTCTAAAAAAACAACTTATTGACTTAAATGACAAATTAAAATAAAATTAGTCTGCAATAAATTCCTCTGAAAATCTTCCCTCCATGCCCTAAAACATATACATCCTCTATAAACTTAACCAACCAAAATAGAAGTTTGTAAAAGAAGTACTAAAAGAAACTTAAAAAAACTAAAGAAATAAAACTATCAATAAATATTCACACACACTTCTTTTAAAAATATCAGCAATTATAACTTTCTTCTTTATTTATCTCTCTTATTTTTTTTTGTTTAATTGCTTAGTTTGTCTCAACTTTCATTCTTATGTCTCAACTTGGTCCTCACTTTTAGAAAGTATCAACTTCGTTCACATGTTGTGTAATGTGCATCAATCAAGTCTATTATGTTAATTTTGGAGAAACAAAGTTAACTGTGTGGTGACGTGACAAAAAAGTCTGTATTTTCTTCTTTCTCCTTTGTGCGCGACGCAGACCTAACTCTCTTTGACTCAGAGAGAGAAAAAAATATTTTGGTTTTTAATATTTTTTTTCTCCCTCTTTCTCTCATCTTTGATCACTGAATTTCTCTCTCTTTCTCTCGTCTCAGTTGTACAACACCAACCCTGATATTGACCCTCTTTGTTTTTCTCCACAATTGCTTACTTCTCCTAATCCTTTTCTTCGAGTTGGGATGGTGGCCACTGTAAACCATGGTTCCTGTGAAACGCTTCGTTGGTGGTGTATGACTCTCTCAACTAATATATATCTTCCATTAGCTGAAGCATTCTCATATGCTAGAATATGGGCATTTTCAACATCTCTCACATCGATCCATCCCAAAGTTATATTTTTAAATGTTGACGAACCTATATCAAGGCCATGGAACAATTTCTTCAATCAGTTAAGAAGTTTCAGTTGAAGAAACTTGCATTGTGTAATGTTGATGTAGACAAAGCAAATAATAGAAATAAAAATTACCGTTGACAAAATTTAAGACTACAACAGCACTGGTGTTAAGCTCTGGTTGCAAGAGAGGTCCACTAACCAATGTTGGGTTTATTGTAAGTAAGTCAATATTGTTTTCTTTTGCAAAATTCCATGCAATATCTTCGACCAAAGTCTTCAAAAGATCATACCATCCCTAAAACATATATCACTAGTACAGTCAAGGAAAACGACAACGGTTATTTTCGCACATAGGCAGCGGCTCCGGAACCGAGGCATATATAGGCGATGCAAAAAGTCTACCCATTTTTGCCTCGGTTGTGGACCGAGGCAAAAGGGATAAAATTTTTACCTCGGTTCAAAGGTAACCGAAGCAGTATGATTTTCCTTTTTTTATTTTTTTTAAAAGGACTTTTCGCCTCGGTTCTCTTTGAACCGAGGCAGTATCTTGGACTTTTCCAGTTTCGCAATTATGATTTATTGAAATCCAATGGCAGCCACAACATGGATGTGGTTCCTTATCCAGCAAGTCCCCAAACAAGCCTCATTTCACTCTGCCACTATCACTTCTACTGCCACATGTTCATCTTCAACCCTTCCAAACACACCATAGCAAAACCATTACACCAGATTATTAATGGAAGTTATTTTCATCCCCAAACCAGCTTCTCATTCTCACTTCAAAACTAAATTCTCTTCAAACCCCAAACACTTCCATAAACAACAACCATTTTCACCACCTCCTTTTAATCGAATCAAGGGTACAAGAGAATTGGCACGAGCCAAAAATTTGAATCAAGATACAAAACTATAACGGTGATGTCATCGTGGAAATGTATCCTCACCCCTCTGTCAATCTTTTTCAAGTCTGAGTATCTTGTTTCTCTTTTTCAAGTCTGAGTATCTTTTTCTTTGCCAGTCCCTGTATCACAATAATTTGTTCAATACATTTTTATATCAAAGATGACAATTATATATGCAAAAGAAACTTAAGTACATTAGAATCCTACTGTCAACACCCAATTTCGTCCGGATTGACCAATAGATTTATTTTATTTTCATCATGAGTGTCAAATAAAAATAATAAAAAAAAGGTAAACAAAAACAAAAAAAAAAAACAAACAAAAAATAGAAAAAAAAAAATGAAAATAAAAAAAAATAAAAGAGCGTTCGTCCTCTGACGTTCGGCTTCGTCCTCTCCCATGCGTGACCGTTCGTCGACTCCATTATGCGACTGTTCGTGCTCTGCCTTTCGGACCGTTCGTCCACTGCAATGTGCGACCATTCGTCCTCTGCCTTTCTGACCGTTCGTCCTTGCCTTTATACGACCGTTCGTCCTATGTCTTTCGGACCGTTCGTCCTCGCCCTTATGCGACCGTTCGTCCTCTGCCTTTCGGATCGTTCGCTTCTCTGCTCCAAATCTTTTAGACGATCGGTTCCTTCCCTCTGCATGCAAACGTTCGTTCTTTATTGAAATAATATCACAGACGTTTCATCCGGTCTTTTGGAAGTTCGTATTCAGCCGCAACCGTTTCGGCCGTTCGTCATTAACCGTTCGGACCTTTGTGGTGTTCAGCAAATAGCGTTCGGTCATATTTATTCTTAGTCAAACGTTCGGTTTTGATGTGTTATGTGTTAGTGAACGTTCGGTTGTTAGTGAACGTTCGGTCATAGTGTTTACTGAACGTTCGGTCTTCATTGAACGTTCGGTCTTCATTTGAACGTTCGGTCTCCAAGATATCTCCTTCAGCGTTCGTACTTTTTGTGCTTATTTTCTTCGAGCGTTCGGTGTTGAGCGCTGTCCTATGTCTAGTGCGAACGTTCGTCCATTTCGCTCGTCCAAATAATGATTTGTTTTAAAAATGGTCGTTCGTCTCAGTCAACGTTCGTCCATAATTCCCACCACAGCTGTTTTCCCACAATGCTCCAACGAAGGCTGCCGAAGAACTCTCAACCAAGCCGACAGCCATGGGTCCATTCCATAATCCCACATTTAACAAACTCCACTAATATTTCCCACTTCACACAACCCTTCAATTATGTTCTACCAAATTATTCCAACAGTCCCCCAATCAAAGCTACCGACAGTTTCATCCAATGAAATTTGCCGACAATTTTCAGTCTTCTGGCAATTTAAGGAGTGCATCAATGATCTCCAAGGGAGAGGATTCACCTCTGACCAGGGCCTTTGCCTCTCACGACCTTCACCCGTAACCATCCCAACTACCATTCCATTTCACTTCCAACATCCATTACCTCCAACATAAACCCAAGATTATCATCTTCATTCATCATTCACCTCTGACCACTCTCCATCAGCTCCAACACCCGTGAACTCACTCCCATCTTCATCCATATACTGTTTCCCATATCATCATCTTCACCTTACCCCCCACGGCCCAACACCTTTTTCCTCCATTTTCATTACCTCGAAACACCCATCATCATCCATCTCTGCTGCAAGCCCACATCACCATCCACATCACTCCCGACATCTCCAACATCACTTCTACTTTCATCATTTTCAATTATCAAAGACCCCAAAACCATTAACTGCAAAAAAAAAAAAAAAAAAAAAAAATCCAAGAGCCAAACTAGATATTGATCTCTGTGCCCACGGCCCAAGGATTAGAGTCGCCGTTCGTGAAGCAAGAAGGATGCCAGGGGACCCGAGACAAAGGCGGCCGGTTGGCGTGCGTGATTGACTGGTTCGAAGAGGCAGTGATGCGGCGGCTGGTCCTAGCAAGAAGTGGGCGTGGTGGCTGGTTCGCAGAAGCAGTGGCGCGGAGAACAGTACCGGTAGCAGCGGCGGCGAGAAGTGCAAGGTGGAAGGCGAGTGCGTTCTCCTCTCGCGCCACCGTGGTGGCCGTTTGGACGAAGGTTGGGAGGTGGTCGTTGAACGGTGGAGGTGAGCGCCTTTGGCTTTCTGCTCAGAGAGAAAGAGACCCTTGGTCTCAGTGGAGTGGAATGGTGTGATGAGAAAATGGGAGAACCCCTAAGGGTCTCCTGAGCTGAAGAATGGAAAGGTCTTAGGGCCTGTTCTTTTTTTTTTCCTCGACCCAGCTCTCTCTAATAAAAAAAAAAAAGTAAAAATAAAATAAAAACATTTTTTTCTCCTCACGCACCCCCCGGTTCTCACCCGCACACCCCCTTTCATTTGGGTTTAAGCCCCTCCGTTTCTGCAAACAAAAATTAAAAGAAGAGAAGGGAATTGGACCTTACAAACAATTTCAGGTGCACCTCCACTTTCGTGTTTACAATCCTAGCATATCCAAAGTTGGAGAAGAAGAGTATTGGCCTAACACAAGGAGTTTAATTTCAATTGGCACTCTGGTTTTTATCTCTGTACCCTATCATGTTAGACTTTTTTTTACTTATTTTGTTTCTTTATTTAATTATTGGTTTTTATTGCATGCCCTCCTTGTATAGTTCCCCACCATTTGTTTTATCTATTGAACTTATTGTTTCGTTTTACATAAAAAATACAAAATAAAAAAAATGAATGAAGAAAAATAAATACATAAATTCTAAAAAAATCAAAAATATGTTTTAAAAGGTTTAGGCACATGTGTGGAAGGCACGCATCGTCCTTGTGTTTAAAAACCTTTTCTCTTTCTAAAAATACAAAAATATGTTTTAAAGTTTAGGCACATGTGGATCGCACGCATCGTCCTTGTACTAAGGTTGATAGAGTTGCTGTTTGAGTTAGCATAATAGTTCTTGTTCCTTTGTTTGATTAATAAAATCAAAAAAACATAAAATAATCAAAACTAAAAACATCGACAATTTCAAACAACAAACAATATAGCCTGGCCAGAACTACGTGATCCTTGATCTCCATCAAAAGTGGAGATACGTAGGAGCAAGGCCAGTCCTTGTCAGGTTCACTCTCCCAAAAATTCAAATTTATCCATAATCAAAATTCTCAAATTCTTCAAACAATTCCTTAAACAAACTTTTCAAAACAATTTCCAAAAAGAACTACGGAACCCTGATTTCTCATTCTGAATGAGAATAAGTAGGAGCAAGGTCAATCCTTGTCGGGCCAAAAAAACTAAAAAAGTACATTTTGTTTCTTTAGAGTTTTATTTTAGGGGATAGTTAAACATTTTGAAAACCACATCATATTCGCGTATTTAATTAAAGGTATGCTTTAGGGCAGGCGTTGTAGGGTGCTAATACCTTCCCTACACGTAACCGACTCCCGAACAAAGAATCTCATTTTCGCAAACCATGCTTTATCATTTATGGTTTTTCCGTAGTTTTCCAGAATAAACTATGGGGCGACTCCAAAATCCTCTTCTTTTTCAAATTTACGTTTATTTTTTCCACGGATCGTCGTCCCGTCGCGATCCCGGTTGCGACAGATGGCGACTCCACTGGGGACATGAGAGAGTCAGGCCATTTAATTAGATAAGCGAATTCGATGTGGTTTTTCTTTGTGTTTTTATTCCCTTTTTCCTTATCTATGTTTGATATTTGGAATAATTGCATGTGAGTTTCTTTTACTTTTTCTTTATGTTTGAAATAATTGTTCCTTATCTATGTTTGATATGTCTACTTATTTGTGTTATTTTTGAAATTGTTGTTATAATCTCCTCTCTACACAATATGCATATCATGAGGGTAGGCCCTATACCGGGTCTGAGCGCAACTTAGAAATAGAGGGGTTGTGTAGCGGTGTCACTCTGGGATGTACTTCCTGTCTGGCTATCGTGGAACTCAGCTAGAGTCTGTTCTCTTCATTTGTGTTCCACATCTAGTTGATTACTCTGACTGTTGTGGAAAAGCAGTGAAAAGAGCCATAGCTCTAGTGGCCTTGATTTAAGGATTAGGAAGCTATCCTTGTGAATGCATATATTTGGCCTTAGAACTTTAAGTCACTCAACCTTTGATAAGGCACAAAAGGGAGATTATTTGTTTAAGTCTGTCTGTCATTATTTTTCTTTCTATTTTTTACAATGAATGTGTCATATTTCTTTTTGTAAAAAAAAAATAAACAAAAAAAAAACTAAATAAAATATGGAGATAAATAAATAAATTTGAATTCAATATTTAATTTTGTCTCAGAATCATTCTAAAAAAAAAAAAAAAAATTGAAGAAAAATCTTGGTCACTTGTCTTTCTTACAAATTGTCAAACTTGTTTTTCGAAAATAGAAAAAATGATAATCAAAGACAAAAGTAACAGTGTCAGACTTTTCCGAGGTCAAATGTCTAATCAAAAATAACAATTTGATGTTTTTCTCGAG